CTGGGCGCTCTCTGCATCAACCTCGGCCTGGAATCTCTCCAACGCCTCAGTAGGAACCAGCTCGGTAATGGGGCGGCTGTGGGAGAGTTGGCGGAATCGCTCAAAGTAGCGCGCGTACTGGTGCATCGGGATGTGGATGACTCGAGACAGGATGGCAAAGATCTTGTCTTGGGCCTCCTGCCGCTCTTCGTACTCTATGTACTTATCCCAGAACGGGTGTGCAAGGAAGTCTAGGCCGACAGAGGTCGCGCCGCGTTCGAAGAGCCTGGAGCGGTTGGTCAGAACACAGCCAAGGACGGGGGACAGGGGACGAATAGGGGGAATGGGAGGCGTGATATACAGGAAGGGGTATCAAGTGAAGTCAACTAGCGAATCCAAGCCCAAAGTAAGGCATTCCAATGAGAGCGATGTGGTGGTGGTGTGAATGCGACGTGGAGCGGACAACGGATCAGCCATCGTCAAGTGGAAATCAGCAGAGCCTGGTAACTACTAGCGTGAGAGGGCGTCCCAACAATGGGGCTGCTGTTGGCATTTCTCACCGACAGATACTTGGAAGGCTGTGGATGGAGTCCATGCAGGGCTCGATCGATGCGCCGAGCGGCCGGTGAGGCATGCTGTGGTGATGGTGATGTTAAGGGGGAAGGAAAGCCGACCATCAAATACTTACTCTCTGACGAGGTGTGGGACGTGAGTGGTCTCCATTTTGAAGGAGCAGTAGTCGGTCCACAAGTCGACAGAATTGGTGATGCTGGCGCATCCTCGCTCATAGACCTAGAGAAAAGCGCCGTCAGTCGCAGCCGGCAGCCAAGGGATGCAATGCGATGCGACGCAACGCGACAAGACTCACCATCTCCGCTGACTCGGGCCCAGCAATGTTGAATTCGAGGTCGGCGTACTTCTTCCAATAGCCGAAGAGCAAGGGGAATTTGAGGAGGAAGCGATCGTATGCATCACGGAGAGTGGCGAGGGCCTGGGGGCTGGAGTTGCGGTTGAGGCCGCCCTCCAGACCCTCGCAGGCGCGAACCAACTTCTCCCAGGTCTCGAAATTATCGGGATCGACATCCTGTATGCGCATAATCAAATCAGCATTTGTTCCATTGGTATTGATGCCAGGTGCGACGTAGGAGATGTCGCAGTCCACGTACCACATCGGCCTGGAGCTTCTTGATCTCGGCGCTCTCCTCCTCGGAGCTCCCAAAGTGGTCGTAATCAGACATGGCGGGCGATGATTTCGGATAACGAACGGCGGAATGACTGAGTTTCCAGGCAAGAGTCGGTGAGGCGCGGGACTGCGAAGGACTGCAGCAGGAAGCAGGAACTGATTGTAGATGGTGGAATGAGGGCGCCGCGGGTCTCGAGGCTGTGGCCGTTGGAATCGTGGGAGACCAGATCGAGCTTCGAGGTCGCGGATGGAAGGGGGGCTGGAAATTTTATGAACGGGCATTAAGGTAGGCACGCACGCACGCAGGTATCTTAGTCGGGACTGCATGCAATTGGGGGAAATGGGGCTGAGGCAGGGTACCTTGCCTTGGACACCGGAGGGAATGGCTCCTGGGTGCGGTGGTACGCAGAACCAATGTACCTTGACGGGCGAACCCTTGCTCTCCGTGCTTTATCAGTGACGCGTGGAAGCGAATAAGATCGGCCAACAGCTTGGAGAGATCAGGCGGTCGGCAGTCCATAACGAGCCGCTTCCATGGATGCAAGTACCCAATTCACTCGGGCGGTTCAGCTCTCCAGCAATTTACCTACCTATTCGTAGGCACGTCCTGCCCTGCATTCTACACAGTTCACAGTAGCGCATCTATTACAGGGTGCATCATCCAGCTTATCCCTCTGCCTGTCCTATCACTCTCTCTGTGCATGCAGTGGCAGGGCACTTCCAGATCCTAGGTACTCTGGAATCCGCCCGACTGAACGGACCCGGGTCCCCAACATTCAAGTGTGGAGCAGTTCCGTCGTCTGGTCGTTTCCCCCAAGGGCGCAAATCGTGATTTTTTTTCGGGTGGCCATCTTCGGCGGGCTGGCTTAGGTAAGCAGTCCGCTGCCTGTGGATCCTATTTGACGTCCAATATTCATGAAAAACCTTTCCTCTCTCTTTTCTCTCTTCTTCACAATAAGGCTCGTGATGATTACCAAACAATACATGATAGGAAGAGAATGACTGACCACCCAAGGTGGCAGCGTGATCTCAATATATATATCTGAAGCCTGCTTTGCCTCAAAGCATTGACATTATTCTTTCTGGCGCCCGCAAAGGAGTTCCGGGTGCAACCCCAGTCTGGCTTCATTCCCGCGTCTCATCTTTACATCTTTTCCCCTTTTTCCTCGTTTGCACCACTATCAAGTTCATGGTATTCAGAGGCAATGTTTCCTGCCGCGATCGAGTCTGAGGCGCTGAAAAGGACCCTTCCATATCCCCCTATTCTAGCTTACCACCTACCCAGACGATGTTTCCGGCGGAAAGAAGCCAACTAGGTTGAGTGCACGCTTAATCGGAACACGCGGCAGACGATCAGGTAGTCCTTGGGATGGGAATGACCCCGCTGTGTGCTGGCTCTGATATCGTAGCCAGTCGCGATGCTGTGATGGCTCCTAGCATCGTTCACGTTCCGCTATGGTGACTGTTCAGCAAGCCGCGAAATGTCCGGTCCAAACTGTGGTGGAATCGTGAGTGCCGATTGGATCATCAAGAAAGAGGTTATAAGCCGATTCTGCCCATGTCAGGTCAAACGCGCACGCTCTGAACTGGAGTCTATAGTGCTTTTCCATTATGAAGGTGTGCAGTTGGAGCGGGGGATGTGGAGCGCAGTTGTCCTCGTCCTCGCCGCCTAACGACTTGTACCGGCCTCGCAAGATGAAAGCTATATCGAGACCACGGCAAGCGAAGGCGGTGCCGCGCTGAGCGCTTTCTGATGAAGGGTCCTGTAATTGAGCCGCCAACAGTCGGGTACAACAAATGTTCTCAACTTTGGGTGACATGGATACCTCTCCTAGCTAACACTCCCTGACCAGAACAACTGCCACTTTGGGCACGCGAGGGAGGTTTAAAGGTCGCTAGGTTCTTGAACGGCTCGCAGCCATGACGAGGCTTCCCAGTAGCGTTGAGGAATTGGGGTGATTGGTACTCGTGGGTATAGGTGGAAGCCATCACCTCCCACGGGACTTCAGCGGCTTAAGCCGGGTTCGAGGGAGCAGCGATTCCTCTGCTAATTAACGAGCAGGATGCCCGAATACTTGTTCTTGGCTGGCCGCCGCAAGATATCTCTTACAATCGTCCGAAAGACCTTGCCAACCTTGGCGAACTTGCCATGACCGGGTCTCTCCGAGAACGCGTTCTCTAGCATCTCCAGCAGCAATGGTGAATGGCTCATTGTGAGACTTCCACAAGAAAGCGCCGGCGATGAGGCTCTTGTGCAGCACTCGACGGCATCTTTCTTGAAAGTCGCGACGACGTCGGTGGAATACGGGTTTCGTCGTTTATACACCAGGTAATCTCTTGGATCGTAGGGTACAGTAGACATGAATAGTCGACTTCCTCTATGCGGAAGTACGCGGACTCCAGACAAGTTGCGAGGACTCAGTTGAGCAACGTGTATAATGTCGGTTGGTAGCCGGTCGGCATGAAATGCTTCTTTAATTAGATTTGTAGCGCGGGCCTAAGGATCTGAAATAAGTGATGGCGAGGCCATTCTATTTGTTGGAGATTAGAAGCCTCCGGCAATAACAGCATCCTCGTCCGCGGGAATGGTTCGCGTGCCGATGCTATCGATGATGCTTGGACTGTGGTCCAAACACAAAGAGCAACTGCGTCGATGAAGCTGGCACAGCTGCCGAGGAACCGGCAATGATTTCCGGGGCCATGAGGGGACAACTGCCATTGTTGCTGTTGCACTGAGAAACGGAGGAGAAAGAGAAAGGAGTGAAGGCGCAGGCAACAGCAAACGTTTGGGAAACAGGTATTCGAACGTGGAGCTTAAAGTACCTTACCTCAGAAACGGACACCATCCGGACCGGACCCATATCTAACGGAGAGCTCTTGTCCCATAGTTTTCCGAATTGAGCTGCAGTGCGTTATTATAGCCATCGCAAGTGTAAGATTGCAGAGCTCTACTTTCCACCCTGGCTAGAAAGTCAGGAACCTTCGTTGCCAGCGCTGGAGGATGAGCGCACTCACACTGCAAGATGCCTTGGAGGGATTCTCCTACGCTTCTGGACGAGGAGGAGGGGGTTCGTCTCATGTCCGAGTTAGGATCGTTTGCTGCTGCGTCTTTTGATAGAGGCTTGTGCTGCTACAAGGGCACCACCTGAACATGGCATTCCTCCGCTGTCTTTGAATTCTGCATGACTGTCTTGAATCACTGGATTATTGCACAGCCGAAGATTAACTTGGCGCAATGTATCTGGAGATTGATGCCAACATTCTACTCTGCACCCAGGGCATCCTGACATGTTAAAGTCGAGATGCGCACCAGACCAGATCCCTGCCATTGAACAGGCCTAGTGTATCTAATAAGTCAGCTCCTTCCCTCCAGGTTGCCCATCTGGGCTGCCCTTCCAGGCTCCCTGAAGGGCACATGGTGAGGTGGTCCGTGAGGCTGAAACCACCTGGGAGCGAGCTGCCTTCCATTCGCCTGGCCAGTCGGAGCTTAAAGGTAGGCTCTAAATATACAGCGGTCCTATGCCCCTGGCTACCTCCGGCGGGACGGACGTCATTGTCAGGCTCCGTATTGGCGACCCAAATCCCGCTACTGTCAGCCGCGACATCCTATCCGACACCATAAACCTTTGGAGGTTTTCAAGCCATTCCGAGCTCCCACCTTGCTTCACGAAGACGACGCTCCGCTCGCTCCGATACCCTCCTTCTCACACGTCGTCATCGAGCTTTACTTACCCGGCCCGCCAACGACGGCGCCCTTCGATGAACAACCGAACTCGCCCGAGCATGCCCTGCGACGCCTGTGCTTCCCCGAACCTGTCAGCAACACCTCCCAATCATCATGGACCACTCCAGCTCTGCATCTTGGCCTTCTCAGGTGCCGGCGCCAGAGAAGTCTAGCCAGTTGTACATTCGTGACTATCCTCATCGCTCCATCGCAATCGTCTCGGCGTCTCACGCCCTCATATTCCGCTACAGCTCCGCCAGCACCGGCGCAAACGGCTCCCTTACTTCCCTCGCATCCACCCGCTCACGACCCAATGGCGATGCTGCTGCGTCGAAGTGTATGGTCGAATTCACCCAGATCACCAGAAAAACGCTCGCTGAATACCGGCCGCTGACACCGCGACCGATCTTTGGAACATTGGGTCTGATTTCCGTTGAGGGCGACGTGTTCCTTTCCGTCGTGACACATGCTACAAGAGTCGCCACCCTTAGGCCGGGGGAGACAGTGGAACGGATTGCGAGCGTCGCATTCTTCTGCCTCAACAGCAGCGAGTGGGACGATGTTATTTCTCTCGATCCTTTGGATTCCGAGCTTTCGGATGCCAACTCCGTGTACGGCCAGAACCTCAGAGGACGGGAGGTTCAGGTAGAACATCCTTGTACGGACCTTCGGAAGCTCTTGGGCAATGGCACGTTTTACTACAGTACCGACTTCGATCTCACAAATAGATTGCAAGATAGGTAAGGTTGTGTTCTTTCTCTGCGCTAATACATTTCTGACCGTCTAGGACTGTGAACTCGTATACTTTTGACATTGACAACTTTGATGATTCCTTCCTGTGGAATTCGTACATGATCAGCCCACTGGTCCAGTTCAGATCTCGACTGCAGCCCCAGGAGCGCGAAGCTTTGGATTCGTCACGGTTTCTGACATCTGCTATCCGTGGATTCTGCCGGACAATGGCTATCCCCCAAACGAGCGCTCCTCTGAAGACGCGATCGACTGGACTACCATCATACTTGACCGTTGTTTCAAGACTATCTTGTCGCAGAGCGGGAACCCGATTCAACTCCAGAGGCATTGACGACGACGGTAATGTGGCAAACTTTGTCGAAACAGAAACGATATACTGGAGCCCTGGCGGGACCCTCTTTTCGTATGCTCAAGTCAGAGGTTCAGTTCCTCTATTCTGGGAACAGACTGCGGAGCTCATCCCTGGTAAGCAAAACATCACCGTCATCAGGTCTCCTGAGGGAGCCCAGCCGGCCTTCAACAAACACTTCGCGGACCTGGAGCAAGCCTACGGCGCCGTTCACGTGGTCAACCTTTTGAGTGAGGGTAAACCTGGTGAGGCGCAGCTCAGTCAGTTGTACCATCTCGGCGTGGAACATTGCCCGTTGAGCCAGGTTGGGGAGGACGAGTCGCAAGACCACGCACTTCTCAGAGAGACTCACTACGACTTCCATGCCGAGACGAAAGGCCCTGGAGGTTACGAGGCTGCACGTCAGATCCGCAGATATATTGAGAACTCAATAGATGGCTTCGCCTACTACTTGGCGGAGGAGACTGAGGATGGAGGCGCCGATGCAAACGACGGCCAAGGCTCAAGCCGTATGGTTGTGGTTCTCCAGCAAGAGGGTGTATTCCGAACGAATTGCCTCGACTGCCTGGATAGGACAAACTTGATCCAGACCCTCATTTCCCAGATGGCTACAGAGGCTTTCCTGGGTCATCGAGGCGAATATGCCACTTCGGATTTCTGGATGCGGCACTCGACCTTGTGGGCAGACAACGGAGATGCTTTGTCAAAGATCTACGCGGGCACTGGTGCGCTCAAGTCATCCTTCACTCGTTCTGGGAAGATGTCCTTGGCTGGAGCTGTTGCAGACATGCGCAAGTCGGTGCAACGTCTCTACCACAACAATTTCACAGACTCGGCCAGGCAGACAACGATCGACCGGCTCCTGGGACGGCTGGTCAACCAAATACCCGTCCTTCTTTTCGATCCCATTAGTGATTACGTTTCTGGCGAATTGGCAAAGAGAAGCGTCGAATTCTCGTCTACACAGGACATAACCATGTGAGTGTATTATCCCCATCATTGATCAATTTGCATACTTATCCAGGTAGGTTGGTCGGAACTTTCAATCTGAACGGTCGCACAGAAGGTGTCGATAGCGATCTTGAGGTATGGTTGTGTCCAGAAGAACTTGGCCATGTACTGCCCGAGATTGTTGCGGTCGGGTTCCAAGAGATCGTCGAGTTGAGCCCACAACAAATCATGAACAGTGACCCCTCGAGAAAACAGCTCTGGGAAGCTGCAGTCAGACGATGCCTCAATAAACGTGCCAAGTCACTTGGCGGAGAAAGATACGTGTTGCTCCGGAGTGGACAACTCGTCGGTGCGGCATTATGCATCTTTGTCAAGGCATCGGCCTTGGCCAACATTAAGAATGTTGAGGGAAGCGTCAAAAAAACAGGCCTATCAGGGATGGCAGGCAACAAAGGCGCGGTTGCCATACGATTTGACTACGCGAATACCCATATTTGCTTTGTGACTGCTCATTTGGCTGCCGGGTTTTCGAATTATGATGAGAGAAACAGAGATTACGCGACGATTCACCACGGGCTGCGCTTCCAGCGAAACCGTGGTATTGACGATCATGGTAAGGGAAATTATTCGAGAGGCTTTTGTACATCTAGAAACTTGAAGCTGACCTCGGAGCAGATGCTGTTGTTTGGCTGGGAGACTTTAATTACAGGATTGGTCTCAGTTCTGAGGCTGCCCGTGGCCTAATCAAGAAGGGTGATCTGGAGACACTTTACGAGAACGATCAGGTAAGCTGAGAATATCACCCTGATGTTTCCTGTCATTATGCTGATTGCTTCGCAGTTGAACCTTCAAATGATCGCCGGACTCGCATTCCCCTTTTACTCGGAGGCCCGCATCAATTTCTTGCCTACATACAAGTTTGATCTTGGCACGGACAATTATGATACTTCGTACGTTCAAGGCAACGTTATGCTCGATAGTGCGGATACTGATTTCTTATAGCGAAAAAGCGCGAATCCCAGCCTGGACCGATCGTATCCTACGCAAGGGTGGGAACTTGCGTCAATTGGCGTACAACTCGGCTCCTCTCAAGTTCTCAGACCATCGACCAGTGTATGCATTATTCCAGTGCAACGTCAGTATAGTCGACGAGGCCTTCCGAGATCGAATCAGCAAGGAGCTGTATCAACAACGAAAGGCCGAAGTTGGAGACACAACGGCAAACCTGGACTCGGAGGAAACCGACGACGAGGACTTGATAGGCTACGAAGCCATCGAGCCTGGACTACCTCCTGCTAGCTCTGACCGCCAGAAATGGTGGTTGGAGAACAAGCAGCAGGCCAGAGTAGACATCAAGCAACCAACAGCACCCGAAGGCCACGCCGCAATACTAAATCCCAACAGGGCGCCGAACCCCTTCACGCCGACTGGGGAGCCGGACTGGGTGAACGTACCCAGATCAAGACTGTCGTCCTTCTCCAGCGTATCGACTTCGCCATACGAGCATGTTTCCGCCCCCAACGATCTTTCGTCGTCGGCAACAAACCGAATAACGAGGAAACTTCCGCCGGCTTTTGATCCGTTGACTCTGCCAGGAAAGTTCAATGGTCTCAACATCAAGGACGAAAAGTCACAACGTGGAGAAACGCCGCCGCCGCCACCGCCGCCTAGAAGACAGACGGGAGCAAGCGCGGCAATCCAACACCCACCACTGATACCCTCCAACAAATCGCGGAATACGACGCCTCCTCCTCCACGGCCGTCGTCTGCCATTTCCCAAGTTTCACAGATGTCGTCACAATCCAAATCCAAACCGGCACCACCCGTTGCAAAGAAGCCGGCGCACCTAGCTACCGCGCCGGCCGCGGCATCTCCAATTCCGAGTAGCAATGGGATGTTGGGTCATTATAGAGAAGAACCGGAAGAAAAACCAACGCTACCGGTCCGAGCCTCGACGGGCTTTACGAACCTCGGTGCGAGCAGGGAAGGGACGCTGAGAAAGCCAGTAGGCACACCAGCTAAGCCTCCCAAACGAGCGGGAACTATGACTATTGAGTCTGTGAGGCACACCCCGATGGCTGGAGCAGTTGCTCTACCGGGGATGAGGGCTGGCGAGGAACGGCCAAAACCAAAGATCCCGGCAAGGAAGAAGGTGCCGGTAGACTTGCTAGACTCACTGGGCGATGATGGACCCAGTGACATGGGAAGCTGGGAGGCATTAGTCCCCAACTCTCAGAGATGATGGGATCGGCTTACCAGTCTTTCGGAACGGAAAAGGATAGACAGACTAGCGGGCATTGCTAAAGGCAAAGACGGCGAGACTGCCTTTGATGATTGATGTGTACGAAAGCATTTGGCAGACTCGGGTGGGCTCACTTTTGCTATAGTGCTGCAGCGGCTGATTAGACGTAATGAAGCATACAAAAAGCAATCGTCGTGCGAAATGGAAATGGGTGGAAAGTGCAATTGCCGTGTTCCGCGAACCGCCTGGTGTCTTCCGCCGCCCAGTATTGTTGTCACGGAGCGAAGAGGCTACAATACCACAATGCCTGTGCCCCGCCGAGGGGCTTGCACTCCAGCTCGAAGCCAAGCCGATGTGGATGAGCCGGGGGTGGGTGACGACGCCCGAACGCCAATCGGCTTCCATACCACAGCCACCCACATCATAACGTCATTCCAAGAAAACCCCCATCCCTCCCCCAATTCGACCTTTCAACTTGATCGCAAAGCGGCTTCACCCAGTCTGGACGGATGGACCCTGGAGTTCGGCTCTGGCAGGGGGGTTAGAGCTGATAGCCTTAGTGAGTTTACCGACTCCGCAACCCCATTTTCATCCGCTGCCAGGTCTTTCCACCCCGATGCAAAGCTTTCGCTCATACTTACTTCCTTACAGAGGTCCTCACGATATCACTGTCTGTCACAGCTGAGACACTACACCGCTTCCTCCAGGTCCAGAAGGATGAGCCCTCTCCGCCGTTCTGTGCGTGCGCTTCGAGACTTCATCGACATCTGACAGCGGCACCGTCCAAGCACGACACACCGCCCTAGTCCAAGTCCAAGTCACGCCCCTCGAACGCCACAGCGAACAGGGGGGGCGCTGGTCTAGGGGGATGTTCGAGCTCTCTGTCTCTCTCCTTGACAAGGAAGAAGGGACGGGGGACGGGGGACGGAAGACTCTAAGAGAGTGAGAGAGTTAGAGAGAATGAGAGAGATCACCCGTGCTGTTGTACTGCGGAGACCAGTGTCAACGCACACGCCGCGACGCCTTCGTTATTTCGGTTGTCCCCATGAACCGCTTCCGGAGGGTTGCTCCCTCAAATATCCTACGCGGGAAATCACCTCTCCGACAGTAAAACAGACAATCAGAGAGATTGACAAGCATAAAAAACAAAAGCAAGGACCCGGATCGACTGTTACTGCCATTTTCCCTGTACCGTCTGACAACACCATCTCCTCTCTAGTGCGGCACCCGGCAGTGGTCAACTGAACTGGGCCTGCCGATCGTGGGGCAGGCGAGGCCCGAATCAGACAAACGTCCCAAGGGAAACCTCGTAGTGGTGGCATGCCATTGCCTAGTTGATAGAGCAGCAAAGCAAGAGAGAAGAACCGGTTCCCGCCTTGACTTTGCCTTCCCTTTTGTTCCACTAGGAGATCTAACCGCGCAGTCTTTTTTTCTTTCGTTTCCCAAGCGGCGTATGAGCCGGTCTGCTTCATCTTCCGGCTCGTCTCCGTCCCGTCCCATCTTTCTAACCCTCCTTTTTTCGGTTTCTTTCTCTCTTTCTTTCTTCCCAACCTAAATCGCTCCCTACCCCACCCACCCCTCCCCCTCCGTTCTTCCTAACCATATCCAAGCTTTTTTCAACAGTCCTGCAGATTGTATCGGTGCTACCTTACCACCCATGCTTACCTGCTGCCGCTTCGTCTAGGTAGTATCCGTACGTGCCTCTCTGATACCTACATAGCAGTCACCTGCCGGAACATCCCTGCCCGCCCCTCCTCCTCTTCCACCAGACCTTTTTCAGTCCGTAGGGCCGAACGCCAGACGAACGGACGGACACTTGTCGCGACGAACGAATCTCGAACGAACCCCACCCGCTACGTTTCCTACCCGTTCATCGACGTCTCCTTGTAGCTGCCGCTGCTCCTGGAGGCGGTTTGTTTTGTTTCTTTTCCATAAGACCACCTGCAGCAAAGTACCTACTGCGACGGATGACATCGACCTTAACGCTTTTCGAATTTGTCCGTCACGCGTCCTTTGCTTCTCAGCTTGATGCCACCTGGCTCTGCCACCAATACCCTTACCTAAACATAATCACAAGCCTCCAACCACCACTTCTCCCAACTGTCCCGGTTGCCATCATTTCTTCTTCCGAACGTGCTTCCATCGCTGCCACTGCTGCTGCTACTGGGATTTCATTTCTTATTTCTCATCCCTAAATCTGACTGAAGCTCCGCCCAACCTACGGATACCGCCACTCGATTAAATTTTTCAATTCTTTTTGTTTTCATACGCCCGGAGGCGTTCTTCTTCCCGCCAAGACCTGCGTACCGCCCAAAAGAGAAGACCGGATGGCAAGAAGAGGCTTGACTCGTTCATCCATCGTACTGCATTCTTGTCCTCGTTTGCTGCTGTTCTGAACACGCCTGAGGAGCGACGTAGAGATAGAGGAAAAGACCCGAGGCCTTCTCCCTACCTCTCTACCTACGTATTTTCGTATCTGAGAACCCCCCAACCTGATTCAAAGTCATCTGTTCACCGGCCACACCTACCTGCCTCAAAAACGGACACACACGCACGCACACGCTACCCATCTGGCCCTTCAAATCCGGGGCTGGCGCCGACTTAATCACATTTGGAGTGTACACACATCCAGGGAAGAGCACATGAACGGGTCGTTTAAGACCTTCCACCGAGCAAAGATAGCCTTGCATAACACCCGAACAGGTCTCGTGTTACCTCCGCATTATTAGAACGACCACCAATTTCTTTTCACTCTAATAACCTCCTTTTCCTACAACCTGCCTTTTCTCCTCCCCGCCTTATCCCTTCTTTTTTTTTTTTTTTTTTGGCCTGTTTTGTCTCTGGGACGATATCATCAAAACGGACGGGCCTTGGCTATAACCCGTTCTCAACGCTCAAACACCTAATTTCTACTCATATCTACCTGTTTTGGGCTTTCGTCGCGTAGAGCGCAGACCTTCTCGAAGCTCCCACCCTCTGGCATACTTTCTGCTTTCGGTCTTGGCTTGGGAGCATCATCCTCATTCCAAGATTAGCAGTCGAGAACCTCAACCCGCCGCAACAACGAACAAACCGCGAACGGCCTCTGGATGCTGGGTCACTCAATCTTTCGCAGCAAGAAACGACCAGCACAATACCCGCTACATACTCATAAACTGAGCACAACCTCCCACCAAAGGAAACCAAAAACGACGTATCAAAAGCCAAGAAAAGAAGACCGCCCACGATGTCACACTCCAGCACAACACTCACCAAACAACAGCGGATCCAAGTCTGGCGTGAGGAGGTAGCGGCCTCGGCTTCTCTATGCACGTGTCCGCCGTCCTCCCCAGCCGCCTCCGCCTCCTCGACAAACATCTCCCTGTCCGCGGCCTCCTCCTCGGCATCATCCTCCGCCTCCTCTCCGGGAGCAGGCGATGCCTTCACCTTCCCCCGCAGCGACATCCTGCCTGGGCAAGGGACCTACTGCCCGACGTGCTCGCGCCTCGGCGCCCCGTCGGCCATGGGCCTCGAACCTTCGTCTGCCTACCTCGACCAGACGCAGCCCGGCGGAGGAGTCCCCGGCGGCCACATCGCCCCGGGCATCTTCCGCACAAAGACGGCCAACCACGCACTTTTCCGCGGCATGCGCAACTTTGTCCGCAAGCTCAGCGGGAGCAGCAGGACAGGCGGACCCATGCCGCCCTCTGGCGCCGATGACGCTACCAAGATGTACCGACGCGCGACTCTCGCCGGCTGGCCCACTGCCACCAACACGGCAGCAACCGCTGCAGCAGAGGAAGCAGTGGCCGACGACGGTGACTGCGCTGTCGACGAGGCGGACTCGGAAGGGCGAGGCCATGTGCCGAAGCTGATTACGGAGAAGCAGGCGAGGCTCAGGAGAGCCGAGAGGCTCCTCGCGAGGACACATGGGACCCGTTAGAAGCGTACTTGCACACGATGAATGGACCAGGTTAATGGGGGAAGATAATTGAGTGAGATGTCTGGGTGTCACACAGGAAGGCGCATATCAGATTTATGTCTTTTTTTGGAATACGGAGGAGTTTTGGGGGGCGGAGGCTGGCTGCTAGGCGTTTTTCAAATGTGCCATCCACATACATGCTTGTCATTCTGGCTTGCTCAGGAAATACCAATTTGTTCAGTCTGTTGTACCTGACCTGCCTGCCTCCCAACGGCCTTATTCAACCTGATTGTCTATTCATCGGCAGGTGACGGCCTCGTGACATTGCAGATAGCCCTCAGTCGCCCTACTGTCAGCCGGGACATCCCCATCGGCGTCACATTTTTACCACATCTTTTTCAAACGCTCTACCCGACCATTCAAGACCCCATCGCCAACTCACAACATTGGTGATTCTGGACAAAGTTATTGATGAACATTTGTTATTTTCTTTCTTGTCTTGTAGACTGAATAGACAGGGGGCATTTGGGGGATAAAGGACTTTCTCTCCGTGAGAAGACGCGCGACAACTGAAGGACCACTATGAGGAAAACCGAAAAGAGAACACGAGACAGCCGTAAACCATCCAGCACAGAGGTAAAAGCAGGATTCGAGGAGAACAAAAGAAGAGATTCTGGGCGTGGGCGGATATGGAGGGGGGAATCAGTAGTTAGCTGCCACGTAGAATCCCTGAACAGAAACGAAGCTGTTCTAGACTTGGGTGGACATCCAATAGACCAATAGAAATCATGCCATGCATTGTTCCTCTCTCCGCGTCCAATCCTCAAAAGCCTCCCCTTTTGCTGCGAGACTCGGAGCGAGTCACAGATGTCAGCCACCGATTTGGCGGCAAGACTGGGGCCGTCAGAAGTTCCGCATATAGCGCATACCGACGGTCGAGCAGACGAGCCATCTCAGCCTCGTCGTGAGCCGAGATGGAGTGGTATCAGGGTAAGACAAGAATTTAGGAGGCAGCAGGGGTCTCCTCGGCGGCCTTAGGCTCCTCGGCCTTGGGCTCCTCCTTCTTCTCCTCGGCAGCCTCGGTGGTGCCGGCAGCGGCACCCTCAGCATCGCCGCTGTCGGAAGAGGTCCAGAGAGTGAGGTTGTCACGCAGGAGCTGCATGATGAGAGTGCTGTCGCGGTAGGACTCCTCAGAGAGAGAGTCGAGCTCGGCGATGGCATCGTCGAAGGCCTGCTTGGCGAGGTGGCAAGCACGGTCGGGCGAGTTCAGGATCTCATAGTAGAAGACGGAGAAGTTAAGGGCCAGGCCAAGGCGGATGGGGTGAGTGGGGGTCAGCTCGGTCTGAGCGACATCGGTAGCGCTCTGATGGAAGGGGTCACATTGTCAGTCATCATGTTCTACCCGGTGGCAGAATTCAACCCGGATCATTCTCACCTTGTAGGCATCGTGGGCAGCGGTAGCGGCACCCTTGCGCTTCTCACCAGAGGCAAACTCAGCAAGGTAGCGGTGGTAGTCACCCTTCCTGTATTACGGGGCATTGCGGTTAGCTCCGGAAATTGTGCCATTGGGGAGTAAGGTTGCCGGTAGCGGCGGCGGCGTCGGATAACGTACATCTTGTGGTAGAAGACCTTGGACTCGCCAGTCTGGGCGTTAGGAATAAGGCTGTCGTCGAGAACGTCGAGAACATCCTGGCAGACCTGCTCGAGCTCGAGCTCGATCTTGGTGCGGTACTCGCGGATAGTGCCGACGTGCTTGTCGGTGCCCTTGCTCTCCTCCTTTTGCTCAATGGAGGAGATGATGCGCCACGAGGCACGACGGGTACCGACGACGTTCTTGTAGGCAACGCTGAGGAGGTTGCGCTCATCGACGCTCAGCTCACCGCCCAGCTTGGCGACCTCCTTCATGTAGCCAACCATCTCATCGTAGCGTTCGGCCTGCTCGCAAAGGCGAGCGAGGAAGGTCTTGCTGTGAGGACAGGATCAGTAAAAAAGTTCGCGCAAGACCTCGGGGCCCAGATGTGATTGATGGGATGTAGTCCATCGACGAGGAGGCTCGGCACAAACCTTTCACGCTAGAAGAGGGGCACAAGTCAGCATACTTTCTTTCCCTCGCGGGCGATAGGGGGTATGAGTGGTTTGAGAGGGGGGAAATAATCCCATCAGGTTTGGAAATGCCGGGCGAAGCGAAAATAGCGGATGACGCGCGACTCAGAGCAGCGAATCGACGGTCGCATCATGGGAATCTTCGTTGCCGTGACACAAGCAAACAGGGCAAGCGAGGGGCGACGGAGGGGTTTTGGGATGAGGTTGTGTTGGGCAGCGTGGGGGAAATGGTACTTACATCGCCAGACATGTTGAACTCGAGGATTGAGGTGATGGGATGGTTTGAGGTGATGTGGAAGAAGATCAGAGAGGGTGGAAATGAATACTGTGAGAGGCGTGCAACGGGAGTTGTGAGAAGTTGACGCGGCTTTGTTTTGTTGTTGAAGAGTGGAAAAAGGTGTGCGGTGGGAGAAGGAGGGAAGGTAGAGGGAGTGTTTACGTGTGACGAATTATTTTGGGAGAGGGGGGGAATCTCAAAGGGAAGTTGCGAGGCCAGTCCAGTGAAGATTTAATCGGGTTGGTCCAAGTCCCAGGTCCCAAGGTCGCTCTTTCCCTCACAGGCTCTTTCTCCTCAAGGTAACTTGGAAGGTACCTACCTACCTACTTACCTTACCTCAGCTAGCCTTAGGTTCCAGGTGCCCCTTCACCCCCTCCACCTACTGATTTTCCAACGTTGGGGTCGGCTCTTTGCTACTTCCTTCCGGTCACTCGGGCTTACTTTAGGTAAGGCGAAGTACCTTACCTGGAGAGGCAAACTGGACCTACCCAAGGTAAGGTGCAGTGGAGGGGCACGATTAAGGCAGTTAGTCGACTGTGTCTGCCCTGTGCCTGCTGGGTGCACCTGCCGCCTTGACCCCACTAAGGTATGTTCCCTTTTCTCCCCCCTCCCCTCGCTTCCCCCTTCTCCGATGGCCTGTGCTGGAAGAGAGGGACCCTGGATTCGAATGGGCGGATGGAGTGAATTGGATATGAACGTGGTCAGGCTTGGGGACTCTGGCAACTGGGCCCCAGGGCTGGGCAAGTTCCCATTTGGCAGAAGGGCAGAGAAACAGGGGCGCTGGGCTGGGCTAGGCTCTCCATCATCCTTACTTTGGGCCCCAAGATACCTTGTCTTGCGTGCCTCGGAAAGTTGAGAAAACACCAACTACACTAATGATGAATGAGCTGTGGCCAAGTGGCAGAGCAGTGAATGCGGCTTTTGTTGTTTCTTCCCCCTACCTACCATCACCTATCTTTGTGTTTGTTGTGCTGTTCACTCAAAGAACCAGAATGGTAGGATGGCTACCAAGTCATAGGCATTCTTTTACCTGTACGCGCATCATGTGTGGGTGTGGATGTGAGTGCGAACAGGAGAGCGTCAGAGGGATGAGAAACGGACGGTGAGGCCAACGCAAATTCCATTTACATGTGGTGAGGTCCTCGTTTCTGGCGGAGAGCGGCCCTGAGATTAGCCTGCCGAGCCCATCAGAGGTAAGATTCTGCCTCCAGAGAACCTGGGCCATGATGTATCTCCCTGGTCCACAACTGACACCCATCCGGGGGGAAGGGCCGGAGATGTACGAAAGAGATACTTTGAACAACAGCTGGAGCGAACAGCTGCTTCTAATCCTCTCAAGTACATCGTTAGGCCAACTTGGGTGTTGCTTCAAACCTGAGTTTAAATAGCCAGACCCCGTCTTTTCCGGTCCGTGGTCTATTTGCCAAATTACCGATGGGATGGATCAGTTACCCATTTGAGCTCCAGAGCTATCATGAGGCCGCCCGGGTGGGAATGGGAATCTTGATGGAAATTAGCACCGCAGCTACCTCTCCAGAGGAGCCCTGGCCAGGAAATTGCGAAAAGAAGGATGAATCAGAAGAAGAAACGAGCTGGCAAATGAGTCTGTGAGAAGGGGGGGCTTCAGGTCACTCAGATAACTCCGGTGAGGGTCATTTGCTTTTGGCTTGTTGAATGCGAGGTTCAAATGCTGCGCGTGTGGTGGACGGACGGACGGCCAGCTCAGCATGGCACAGCACAGCATAACACAAGCGCAGCAACATACATAATGCTGGCTGCTGACTGGCTGACGGGGCATCTCGAGGCTAGCCCCACCCTCTCCATGCATTTCCCCGCTCCTGCTTCGAGACACGCCCACCATGTACGTATCTCTTGGTTCCCTGACCACAGCTGTTCTTGCTCTTGCACTTTTCCCCCCCCCCCCCCCCCCCCCCCCCTCCCCCCTCTCCTCCTCTTCCCCCCTCGCTCCCCCGCCCCCCCCCCCCCCCCCCCCCGCGCTTGTGTCTCTCTTTTCCCCCCCCCCCCCGTCTTTTTCTCTTTTCCCTTTTCCCCCCCCCCCCCCCCCCTGTCTCGTGATTCTTACCTCTGGTGGTACCGTGGTTCTCTCCCGTTCCAGGCACATCCACGCGTGATAGAGTCCGCTGGCCTTTACATCACTACACACCCTACAGTCGGCCCATCAACACCAACCCACTCCCCTCGTCTCACCTCGCCTCTCATCTTGTCGCATCCACCTCACCTCACTTGCTGCTGCTTTGCTCTACCCAGCACGAGAATGGCGTAACTTCTAGTCCAGCAACACAATTCGACATTGCACAAAGCCCCCAATACCATAAGGCTTGACGGATATAGATAAGGCCACACGGAGATGTCTTGTGGTTAAGTCAGGTAATGTGCCAGAACCCACCCGGGTTGGGCCGTCTTTCGAAGCATCACACTATAATGTAAATGATTCTTGCTTCTGATGGCTTACCTCATCTCGCACAAATGCTTGAAGATGGGCATCAAATGCCATCCCATGTTTGTCTCAAACTCACACAATCCGTACCTGGCTCATGAGTCGTCCTCAACTACCTTTACATCTGGTACCTTGCTTTCTCTCATTCGCAGTTATCCACATTGATACACATCTTGTAACTTACGAATAGAGATTGTTTCCCAGACAAGATCAAGAGGTAAGTAAGCGTTATTGCGAGCGTCAAAAGACCCTGGGCACCAACCCACTGGATCGCACCCTGGAAATTGGAAATGCCACAGAAATCAGAAATCCTACGACGACACTGTGCCTGTCGACATCAGCTACTGGTTTTCGTGCGCGCCATCTCCCTCTCGGGCCAAATGGTGTCAACCATGGGCATAGCCAGGTGTTCCAGTCTGCTTGCCTCGCAGAAATCGGCGCCTCACTGCCGGGAGGAGCAGCCACACGGCCAACTAAGCCACGATCCCATCCGGCTTGCGTTGCCGCCCGACCACGATACCATGGTCTTTTTCGTCTTCAATCGGTCACTACGAGATGCCCGATGGTGGCTCTCCCTGCGTCGTTGCTATCCTCGCGCCCATGCTTGTCGAGAGCGTGGTGTCGTGTCCTGCACGAAACCACCTTGTCCACCCGCTTACCGCTCAAGCTGCAAAATGTCCGATAGTTTATCAATCTGCTGGCGTATCTTGCTACTTTAAACCCCCCAAAGAAACCGGTTTCGACTTTCAGTCCAAGGGGTGATCCCCCGTCGGATCAGCGTGCCATCCGTCATTCCCGGCTTGTCTTCTCACAAGCTCAAAGAGTTCCTGCGAGTGAAACGTCAATGGCTCCCGTGCTATGGTACGAATACAGCAAACTCACCTCGACCCAACTCGGCCTTGGAGACGAAGCAGGAGGTGATAGACATCTCTGTGACCGAACCCAGATCAATATCACACTCTGATCTCTGATCCCCAGTCTCTTGGCCGCCATTCTCGTCCCAACTCCCAAGCCAACCAATCCCAGCCCACCAACTCGAGGCCATCATGGTAGCTTTCGGGTGACTCACATCCAGCACAGCACATGGGGGATCCTCCATGCAGTCGGGTCGAACAGGCGACTCGCGTGCGACAGGCCCTTGGTCACCTCCTTATCGCGTGGCATCCATCCTCTAGGTGGTGCTGCGGTGGCAGCACCTGCCTGCACTGCTGCAGCTTTCTCACAAGAAATCTTCCGCGATACCCAGTACCCGTACGCGATTTCGACGATGGCCAGCTTTTACCCGTCGGCCATCACTCATGCCACGGTCCCTATTGCGAGCCATGCTCTCTCTGGTGCTCCCTTTTACCCCTCATCTCTCGCCCTGGTATCCCTTCCCTTTGTTTTTCCCCTCTCCCCATATCCAAGGGACATGAATCCTCCCGAACCCGGAGGCGCGGATGGAATTCATGCGTATAGCAAGTCAACCTAGTCATGGTCCCATGGAAAACCCGGGAATCCACAACGTCAGCGAACGAATAATGGGAACTTGGAAGGGCCTCAAGGAGAAACCGATAGCCGCGAGGTTTAAGTAAGCACTCTGGCACCTTAACAAGGCTCGAGCCAAAACTCGGGATCCAACGAAGAGATATCCACCCAACCCGGGCTGTTTCCGGCGTCCGCATAGTGCCCTTGTCTGCCTGCCTGCCTACCTTAGCTTCCTAGCACGGGCGCACAGCTTTTGCAGCACCAACCGGAGCTTTCATGACAGCTTTTTTTTTTTTTTTTTTTTTTTTTTTTTTTTTTCTTTTCCTAATTTTTAATTTATTATTTTTATTATTATTATTTTTTTTTTTTTTTAAAAACGTTTATTTTTTTTATTTTCTTTTTTTTTATTTTTTTTTTTTATTATTTATTTATTTATTTATTTATTTTTTCTTTTTTTCTTTTCCTAATTTTTAATTTATTTTTTTCTTTTTTTCTTTTCCTAATTTTTAATTTATTATTATTATTATTATTATTTATATTATT